CTTTATTTAAACATACATTATGCAAGAGCTAAATCTGCCTATTTCAGGTCTTTCTTTAGGCCTGAAATGTTATCTAAATTATTAATTAGACATTAATTAACCTATCCAGGCCATAATCAACTCTAGATGGCAGCACTAGCCTGCGATCTTTAGTGGATTGTAAGCCGATTTACTGCATAACTTTCCTTCTCGATTAAACGATTAAATGGATAATCAAGACTATGCTGTTTATCGTACTGACTTTAGTAATGATGACCGAGGCTTATGGGAATTTCAGTCGCTTAGTTCTCGGTTCATAGTGGATCAATTTGAATGAAATTTTCACCAAATTGCCTTAACATTATCTAGTTTTTATACGCCCACATTGAAATGTGGTCGTATATTGTCGTCAGCCCTGTCCGTCCGGCGTCCACAATTGCTTGTGGACGCTCTAGAGGCTAAAGTTAATATCCGATTGACTTTAAATTTATACACAGTGTTTAAGGTCATGAGACGAAGAAGCCGATTGATTTTCAGCGATTTCCGATAATTACTGCCAGAGTTATGGCCCTTGATCACTTCAAATTATCTTGTGGACATTTTAGAGGCTAAAGTTAATATCCGATTTACTTTAAATTTATACACAGTGTTTAAGGTCATGAGACGAAGAAGCCTAGTGATTTTCAGCGATTTCCGATAATTACTGCCAGAGTTATGGCCCTTGATCCCTTTGAAAAATCTTGTGGACGCTCTGGAGGCTAAAGTTAATATCCGATTGACTTTAAATTTATACACAGTGTTTAATGTCATGAGACGAAGAAGCCCATTAATTTTCGGCGATTTCTGATAAGTACTGCCAGAGTTATGGCCCTTGATCACTTTGAAAAATCTTGTAAATGCTGTAGAAGCTACAGTTAATATCCGATTTTCGATAATTACTGCCAGTGTTATGGCCCTTGATCACTTCAAAAAATCTTGTAAATGCTGTAGAGGCTACAGTTAATAAATTTTTACACAGTGTTTGAGGTCATGAGACGAAGAATCATATTGATTTTCAACAATTTTCGATAATTACTGCCAGAGTTATGGCCCTTGATCACTTCAAAAAATCTTGTAAATGCTCTAGAGGCTACAGTTAATATTTGATTGACTTTAAATTTATACACAGTGTTTGAGGTCATGAGACGAAGAATCATATTGATTTTCAACGATTTCCGATAATTACTGCCCAAGTTATGGCCCTTGATCACTTTGAAAAATCTTGTGACGCTCTAGAGCCTAAAGTTATCATCGTAAACTGCCTTCTGACATTCTGGCGACCACCAAGGTTTTGTATTCCTTGACTTCCTGCCAGATGTCTTTGGAATGGAGTCTCTGAGTACATGTCGATGATGTCTTCTCTCCAATCAAGGCAACCTTCATGGAAGTTTGCCCAATCAGCTTCTTTCATTTTTATACGCCCACATGGAAATGTGGACGTATATTGCCGTCGCCCCCGTGCGTCCGTCGTCAACAAGTTCTTTGTGAATGCTCTTAAAATAATCGGATCATAACTTTTGGCGTTAAGAGTCTTAACGCAAAAAGTTTTGATCCGATTATTTTAAAATTGATATACATGTATCTTGTTGACATTAGTGAGATAAAGAAGCCTATTTAATTTCAATAATTTCCATTTATTAGGTCTAGAGTTATGGCCCTTGTTTCACTTTGTTGCACCTTGTGAACGCTCTAACATCAAAAGTTATCCTCCGATCTGTATGAAATTTATATGCTTCATTTAAATTAGCAAAAAGAAGAATCCTATTGAATTTCAGCAATTTCTGTTTATTATATCTATCTGTTATGTCCCTTGTTTCACTTTGTTGAACCTTGTGAACGCTCAACGCAAAAAGTTGTCATCTGATCTGTATGAAATTTATATGCATCATTTAGATTAGTGAAACCACAAAGCCTTTTGAATTTCAGCAATTTACAATAATTACTTCTAGAGTTATGGCCCTTGTTTTACTTTGTGAAGGTTCGAATGACAAAAGGGGGGTTGGATGGCCGAATCGTTAGCACGTGCGCGCTGCGCTGTATCATACGGTCTGTCATTGAGTCAACTGGCGGGGTTTCGATTCCCCGGTTGTACGTGACAAGGAGTAGGGTCGCCTGTCCAACCTCGTGGGTTTTCTCCGGGTCCTACAGTTTCCTCCGACTGCTAAAGACCTTTACACGAAAGCGAATTATTGAAATAAAATTGAACCATGTGTTAGTCCTGAAATGACCTAGTTTGTGTCGAGTTGACGTTAAACCCCATTTGTCTCTCTTTCTCTCGAATGACAAAAGTTATCATCTGATTTGTATGAAATTTATATGCATTATTTAAATAAGTAAAACGAAAAAGCCCTGTCAAATTTCAAAATTTTCTGTAAATTTCTTGTGAACACACTACAGCCTACATTTATCATCTGATTGTTTTGAAATTGATATATGTCGTTAATTAGTGAGATGAAGAAGCCTCTTTAATTTCAATAATATTTGTTAGTTTCTTCTGGAGTTATGGCCCTTGTTTCACTTTGTTGAATGCTCTAACGACAAAAGTTATCATCTGATCAGTATGGATTTTATATGCATTATTCGATTAGTGAAAGGAAAAAGTCTATTGAATTTCAGCAATTTCCTTCAATTACGTCTAGAGTTATTGCCCTGGTTTCACTTTGTTGAACCGTGTGAATGCTCTAACGACAAAAGTTATCATCCGATCTGTGCGGAATTTATATGCATCATTTGAATTAGTGAAACGAAGAAATATATTGAATTTCAGCAATTTCCGTTAATTAAGTCTAGAGTTATGGCCCTAACTTGTTTCACTTTGTTGAACCTTGTGAGCGCTCCAAAACACACCGGTTTTACAAAGCATTCTCAGACTAAAATTAGAAATTACAATATTTTTTTCAAAAATTGAATATAAATCACTCTCATACATTCATATTACATTAATATGTGCTTTTAGAACCATTTTTATGAAAATGTCTTATAAATTCCTCCAATTACTGTACCTACAAAAGATTAAATATGCGACAACCCTGGTTGACTGCTCAGACAATTTAGCTGCTATGGGCGTATTTTTCGTTGCCTGGCAACCTATCTTTGTCTATTTCAAGGTTCCAAAAAATAGAGCCATATGCCCTTTCAGGAAAATATATTCCTATATATTGTTTGAAGAAATTAATAGGCTGGCAGTCTCTTCAGTTTCAGTGTCTACTTTTTATACGCCCACATTGAAATGTGGTCATATATTGACATTGTTGTCACGTCCGTCCGGCGTCCACGCTCTAGAGGCTAAAGTTAATATCCGATTGACTTTAAATTTATACACAGTGTTAAAGGTCATGAGACGAAGAAGCCTATTGATTTTCAGCAATTTCCAATAATTACTGCCAGAGTTATGGCCCTTGATCACTTTGAAAAATCTTGTTGAGGCTCAAGAGGCTAAAGTTAATATCCAATTAACTTTAAATTTATACACAGTGTTTAAGGTCATGAGACAAAGAAGCCCATGGATTTTCAGCAATTTTCGATAATTACTGCCAGAGTTATGGCCCTTGACCACTTCAAAATATCTTGTGGCCACTGTAGAGGCCAAAGTTAATATCCGATTGACTTTAGATTTATACACAGTGTTTAAGGTCATAAAACGAAGAAGCCTATTGATTTTATTCAATTTCCGATAATTACTGCCAGAGTTATGGCCCTTGATCACTTCAAAATATCTTGTGGACGCTCTAGAAGCGAAAGATAATATCCGATTGACTTTAAATTTATACACAGTGTTTAAGGTCATGAGACGAAAAAGCCTATTGATTTTCAGCGATTTCGGATAATTACTGCCAGACTTTAAATTTATACGCAGTGTTTGAGGTCATGAGACGAAGAATCCTATAGATTTTCAACGATTTCCGATAATTACTGCCAAAGTTATGGCCCTGGATCACTTTGAAAAATCTTGTGGTGCTCTAGAGGCTTATGTTATCATCCGATTGACTTCAGATTGATACACAGAGTTTAAAGATACATTATGGGAGACTTTTATAAAGAGTTGGCCATTCTTGCTATAACAGTTCAAAAGTAGACGATGAAAGAAGAATATATTGAAAATTTCAGTCAAATTACTTTATTCTGAACAAAGTTATCATCGTTGTAATATTTGACTAGAAATGGTAGTCAAATATGTCTTCACCTTGGCCGATCGTTTGATTGACATAATCTTGATTATCAAGTAACGTTTTCAAAGGCTTTTATTTTTACTACAAATTAAAAATAAGACTTTTATTATATAGATAAGAAGCGAAAGTTTGAAAGGAATGGACCAAATCAATGAGGCATAATTATAGCCGACTTCTTGTTAGCCTGTGTGTACTCTTGTACTGTAAGGTGACTACGTGACTCCCGAAGCAGACAAATAGGAAACACTACAGTGATCTAATGGGGCTGCAATTCAACTGGGGTGATGTTAGCTGCGATTTTTATCAATTTTTCTGTAAACGCAAGTGACAAAAGAGCGTATAATACCAACATCCAAACTCTCATTTTAACCACAACTGAACATAATATCAAGGCCGTATATACATGTATCGAACTTTGAATCAAATTGACTGACATGCGGCATCGCTCAACAGCGGCCTCGCTTCGTACACTCTATCATTTAGCCTCGATCTAACTGATGACATCAACGTAACGGTTAAAAATCTCCGACTTGGGCGCCATATTTGATTTAATCAATCAGCTAAATCCACGATATTAATATTTCGTATAATTAACCTCAGCATGGGGCAGAAATTTATAAAAACCAAACAAATTCTAATGATTTTCTGATAATTACTCTTAAACATATTTTAGTGTATTATAAATGTTTCATTACTGAAAAAGTAAAAATATGCGACAACTCTTGTTGACTACCCGGACGATTTAGCTGCTGTGGGTGTATGTTTCGTTGCCTGGCAACCTATCTTTAACACATGATGTTTTATTTATTTTAGGAATATGATAAAGGAAAAAATGTCATAAATCAATATAAAAGAAAGTTAGTGGAGTCTATAAAGAAGAAGCATGTGAATGCATTTAAAAGTGTTTTAGCAAGTGGTTTAGATGTGAACTTTAGTGACTATACTTCTAATTATCCTATTCATCATGCTTCTGCTCTGGTTCCAGATAAGGGTAAAAAAAACCCAACAATTTACAATAATGTATTACGGGGTGGACAATAATTTCAATAAATCAATGCATCAGCATCACAATAATTTATTACCACTTCTCCTATAATGTTCCCAGAAAGATCATTGCGTTTAATGTGGATATGGCAGGCTTTGTCTAATCCATCCGCTTATCAGAGTTCATTATGGACTTACCATGTGAAAATGTTTCTAAATCATAATTTTAAGCCAAAAAAAAAAGCCTGGCAATAGGCAAGTTTAGATCTTGCATCATGTCGTTTGATGAGCATCGGAACATAACTTCCTAGGTATGGCTTACTGAGTAACCAAATTTGTAGGCTCCCTATTAATTGGGTACATGAAAACTATCGCTTTATATTGTTTTCTGTTGGTCCATACTAACGGGAAGAACCCTATCATTAATCAGAATTCTGTTACCTATTGTTGAGTTACTCCCCCACTGTTTTGTGTGAATCATTGGGGCAATGAGAGAACGAACCCATTTGATAATTAAAAATTGTAGACCTTTCAGTCTGGAGTAACCCCCCTTTGCGGAAATCTTTGTGAACGCAATAGAGGCTGCAGAGGAACCTTGGTTAGTAGAGCACTGGCTCGCTATCCAGGAGGTCTCTGATTTTTTTCCGGTGTTGTTTAAGAAAGTTTTGAAACATTATACTATTAACCACTACTAAATGTAATTAAACACCGCATCTGTTTTTATCCCCCGCCTTTCGAAGAAAGGAGAGGACTATTAAAATGGGTTCGTCTGTCTGTCTGTCCGTTCGTCCGTCTGTCTGTCCGTCACACTTTTTGGGACACAATAACTCTAATTCTAATTGAGCTAGAATGTTCACATTTGGCGTAGGTGTCTATTAGGTGAATTCCTTGATGGAGTTCGAATTTTCTGCCTAGGGTAAGCAGAGATAAGCAATTTGATTAGTTGAAGCTTTGGGACACGATAACTTTAGTTCTAATTAAGTGAGAGTGAGGACACTTGGTGTATAGCTTTATTACATCAATACCTTGACTAAGTTCGATAATGAACATTTTTTGCTGAGGGTAAGAAGAGCGATAAGCAATTTGATTGGTTGAGACTTTGGAACATGATCTCTCCTTCTAATTGAGGTAGAATGTTCAAACTTGATGTAGGCATTCATTAGGTGAATGCTTTGATGAAGTTCGTTGATGAACATTGTCTGCTTACGGGAAGCAGAGTTATGGCCCTTGTTTCACTTTGTTTAACCTTGTGAACTCTCTAACCCCAAAAGTTATCATCCTATCTTTCTGAAATTTATATGCATTATTAAGATTAGTGAAATGAAGAAACCTATTTAATTTCAATAATTTCCGTTTATTACATCTAGAGTTATGGCCCTTGTTTCACTTTATTGAACCTTGTGAATGCTCTATGCCAAAAGTTAACATCCGATCTTTGTGAAATTTATATGCAATATTTAAATTAGTGAAACAAAGAAGCCTATTGAATTTCAGCAATTTCCGTTTATTACTTCTAGAGTTATGGCCCTTGTTTCACTTTGTTTAACCTTTCGAACGCTCTTACCCCAAAAGTTATCATCCTATCTTTCTGAAATTTCTATGCATTATTTATATTAGTGAAACGAAGAAGCCTATTGAATTTCAGCAATTTCCATTTATTACGTCTAGAGTTATGGCCCTTGTTTCGCCTTATTGAACCTTGTGAATGCTCTAACATCAAAAGTTATGTGCCGATCTGTATGAAATTTACATGCGTCATTTAAATTAGTAAAGAGAAGAATCCTATTGAATTTCAGCAATTTCCGTTTATTACTTCTAGAGTTATGGCCCTTGTTTCAGTTTGTTCAACCTTGTTAATGCTGGATTGATGAAAGTTATCATTCGATATGTATGAAATTTATATGCATCATTTAAATTTGTGAAACAGAGGTCTATTGAATTTCAGCAATTTCCGTCAATAATTTCTAGAGTTATGGTGGTTGTGAACCTTGTGGACCCTTGAATGACAAAAGTGATCTTCTGATCTGTATGAAATTTATATGCATTATTTAAATTAGTAAAACGAAAAAGCCTGTCAAATTTCAACAATTTCTGTAGATTACTTCCAGAGTTGAGACCCTTGTTTCAGTTTGTAGAACCTTGTGAATCCACGAACGGCAAAAATTATAATCTGACCTGTATGGAAGTGTCTTGTAAAGGCCCCCAATTACCTACAAAGGAATAAATATGCGACAACCCTTGTCGACTGCTTGGATGATTTAGCTGATGTGGGCGTACATGTATGTTTCGTTGCCTGGCATCCTATCTTTCATTTCAGATTCTAGAGAGATTTTAACTACATTAATATATTCTGATGTTGATTTAGATGTTGCTGATCGCTTTGGCTGTACACCTTTACATATAGCTGTTGGTGTTTCCCTAGAAACCACTGTCACTCTACTTGACAACGGTTGCTTCATCGATGCACAGGATCATGCAGGTTTAAAAATTAGATAATTTATATAAATCAACTATTTCTTATTGTTCTGTAAAGATCTTAGATCCAGGTCTAACCTTGCACAACAAGCCAACAGTTAGGCTGATGTCCCCTGCCAAAAGGCGTCAATATGCCCAAATAAATAGATGACATATACTAATTAATTGCACATTTATTTTTTTGAAAAATGTTGAGCAATCAAACTGATTATCTAATCTTAGTCTATGCAGAAAATGTTCACAATCGAACTCACTCAAGGTTCATCACTCTTGATCAGTTAGAATCAAAGTTATCATGTCCCAGGGGGGTTGGGTGGCCGAATGGTTTGCACGTGCGTGCTGTATCATAAAGCCTGTCATTGAGTCAACTGGCGTGGTTTCGAATCCCCGGTTGTACGTCACAAGAAATAGGGTCGCCTGTCCAACCTCGTGGGTTTTCTCTGGGTCCTCCGGTTTCCTCCCACTGCTAAAGACCCCTATGCGCAAGCGTATTATTGAAATAAAATTTAACCATATGTTAGTCCCGAAATGACCTAGTTTGTGTCGAGTGGAGGTTAGACCCCATTTCTCTCTCTCTCTCTCTCTATCATGTCCCAAAGCATCAACCAATGAAATTGCTTAGCTCTGCTTAGTTTTAGTGGAAAATGTTAATCATTGAACTCAGTCAAGCCATTCACCTTATGAACATCTATACCAAGATTAAACATTCTACCGCAATTAAAATCAGAGTTGTTATGTTTCTAAGTCTTAACCAATCAAGTGGAAAATGCGCATGATGGAACACTGTCAAGGCTTTCAACTATTAACCATCTACACCAAGTTTGAATATTCTTCCTCAATTGTGTTCCAAAGTCTCGACCAATCAAATTGAAGTATCTACTTAGCCAAAGTAGAACTTAGTCAAGGTATTGATGTAATGAAACAATAAACGAAGTTTCACCACTGTACATGTAGCTCAATTAGAAGTTATCAAGCTCCAAAGTCTCGACCAATCAAATTGCTTTCCGCTATGCTTACCCTCAGCCAAAAATGCTCATTATCAATCTGAATAAAACACAGATCCAATTTCGTTTCGTTTTTATAGTTCAAAATTTTGATTTTACTTGTCTTTACTACACTTGGATCTGGAAGCGTTGTTATTTAACTCGTGTTCTGCTTGAAGTGAGGGGTCAGCCAATCAAATGGTCTGTCGAATCTAGCGTTTGACCTTTTTTGCGCGGAACTGTGGGTAGACATTAGCGGCAATAGAAATCAAAACAAAGCAAAAGTAGATAAAAAATACATGGCGGTCACTAATTGGTTAATCGGGTCAAATGTCGCTTGCTTGGTACCTGACGTCATAGAACGTGAACTCCCACTATAACTTGTTAGATCTAAATGTAGTGTAGGCCATCGAAAATATAAAAAACGAAACGAAATATAGATCTATATTTTAATTAGATTGGCTCATTATGGAACTTAATCAAAGTATTGATAAAATGAAACTATACACCAAGTTTCATCACTCTTACTTAATTAGAATCACATTTATCGTGTCCCAAAGCATCAACCTTCAAAAACATCAACCAATCAAATTGCTTATCTCTGCTTAACCTAAGCAGAAAAATGCTCATCTATGAATTCCATCAAGGCATTTGCCTCATATACACCAAATTTAAACATTCTAGCTCAATTAGAAGGAAAGTTATTGTGTCCCAAAAAAGTGTGACGGACAGACAGACAGATGGACAGTCCCCTGCTTTCTTGGGACAATAAAAGCTATTTGAATAGCTTTTCTGCTTAGGGTAAACAGAGTGGCTGATTGCATGCGATGTAGATGACAAAATCTCTGTATTATAAATATTTATATCTTTTGTTACAGGTTGCACACCGTTAATGAGGGCATGTAGTAATAGATCATCAGAAAGTTTGGCTATAATACAGTTGTTAATAGACACACAGTGTAACATTCACCTTAAAGATGATGAAGGCTTCACAGGTAAATAATTACAACTATAAATGCTATACTCCATACGATTCAAATCATGATACATATATTCCGATAAGTAAAACATGAATATTCGGTTTAATATCAGAACTAAAATCATGATACGATACAAGTGTCTCAATATAATTCATATATATATAGGTCTGAAAATTAACGAGTAAACCAAACTTCAATACTAATTACATTAATTTTTGTATAACTTTACAGGACTGGGTATCATTTGCTAAGACTGCATTTAGATAAAAATAATTGACAGTTTTATGTGCCTTTAATAAATATTTTTAGCTTTACATTACATATGTAAAAACAGTCAACAAGATGTCAATTTACGGAATGAAATAGTATATAAATTATTATACAGTGGTCTATCACCTATTTTACAAGATAATAGTGGTATGTATTTCATTATAACAACATAATTATAACTGGGTGTTATTAAAGAAATGGTTTAACAAAAAACAATTGTCACCCAAAGCTTAGATACACCCACACAGCTGCTTTGTCTCAAACAAAAATATAGCCATAGCCAGCATCTTATGTCAACTCTTATAAGGATCCGTAAGCCTTTAAGATATCCATACTCAATTGTGTTCAGAAGCTTTTCTGGGCACATATTAAATCTCTAAAACAAAAAGTCCTAGAATGCTGAAAATCTGATGCCAGTGCTCAACACCAAATTTGAAAATCAATAGTCCTAATGCGAAATTTGAAAAAAAATATCTGTTAAGTTTTTTGGATAAGGGTGGGTAACTCCAGACCATAAGATCACAGATGGAGGCAGACCACCATTAATTTCCCCATTGACTTTAATGTTAATTATTGCCTCTTTGCCCACCTCCAACTTTTCCCCAACTTTTCGTTGGGCTGAATGCTTTTCACTACAGACAGAGGAACAAATGGTCATGTCTTGGCACTAAAATTTGTATGAGGTTGACCACCAAAATTTTGAGATACACAAACTTGATGAAGCATATTAAAAACATGTAACTAGTTGCCGTACATATCACTGTAGCCAACCTGATAACCCTTTTTTTCTTTCTGCCTCAAAATCATGAATATTTACCAAAACCTGGCAGAAAATGTTAATTCAAACCCTCTTCATCCATTCTAGACCAAAAAATCAACAAAAATGGGCATGCAAAAGGGGAGAAAAGGGACAGAGACAGAATTGCTATAAATAGACGAACTACAATTTGTGGGTACTGAGATGGTGAAATTTAATGGTGGTCTGCCTCCTATATATCTGAATATTAACAGGCTTCCTGTCATGAAGCCAATGCTCCACACCAAGTTTGAAGAACATCTGTTAAAAAGTGTAGGCTCTTAACACGTTGACAAGGTTTTCGGAAAAAGAGGGAGATAACTCTTCAACCAAATTTTGCGAAGTATTGAATATCAATAGTGTTTCATTTGCTCATGAATCAAATGATTAACACCAACGGGTAAAAATAAATACAGTAAAAAGTGTAGCCTCTATCTGTTAAGGGTTTTCTGAAATGAAATGGAATTGTTTTTGGAAAAGGGGGAAGGGGATTCTGAATGAAAGGTCGCTGAATTCTGAATATTGATAGGGTTCATCCAATTTTGACACCAAAGCTTCACACTAAATTACAAATAATCGCTTTAAAAGCTGCAACCTCTATAACATTAACAAGGAACTCGAAAGGTCAATATTTAGCATTCCGGAGTGGAAGAACCCTGTTGATTTTCAGCATTATAGGATAAAATTCACAAATCTGACAAAGAAATCTTGAATTAATTTAAATAAAAGTAAACATAGGTTGGCAGGCATTGAAACATACACCAAACAGACATGAGCTAAACAATTCCAAAATTTCAAAAAGGTCAGATCCTGATTAAAGTCTAGTTGGAGGTGCTGACAAAATTTCATAATAAAGGGAAATAACTGTGGAAAATCAATAGGCTTAATGAGATAGATCACTCACATATTTCTGTAGCCTCTATTGTGCTAACAAGAAATGTGAACGGTATATGGATGAACGGACAGGGTGACCATATCAAAATGGATTGATATTTTGAAATTCCAAGCCATGGTTGTGTATCTGGAATATGATTTGGATGTTCTTAATTTCAAATCCAGACTAAGTTTAATTCCAAATGTTTTTCGTGTTATCTGGGATATTTAACTACACTCTAGATCACAGTGGACTTTAATCTTGTGTTTCTCTGTTTACATTATTTATCCACCTTGATTATTTATTCCAGGTAAAATGGGATTATGTCATGAATTAGATAAATTTATAAACAATGGAAACAGTGTCATAAACAAAGAAGAATTGGTTGTTTTAAAAACTTTAATATGTGCTGGACGTAATATCAATTTCACCAACAAAGTTTTTACAGTCTGGTTGACTTATACTCTACCTCTCTACTCAAATATATTTCTGCTAAAACTATTTCAAGTTATACGACCGATATTGGGTCAGAAGTTTATACGACAATTACACAAACTGTACACCTCATTACCCAGCTGTGACAATCAAATAGCGGACATAGTTGCACGTTATCGTGATATGCCACGAAGTCTCAAGTCAAGTTGCCGATATACGATACGATCTAACCTCAAAGAAAGAGTTTTATTCGCAACAGAAGATCTTCCATTGCCAACATCATTAAAGAAATATTTATTATTATCTGATAATTAATAAAGGATGGGTTAGGGGTCTTGCTGTTAACTTTTACTGTAAAACTAGAATTTCTTTTATCTTTAAATTAGGTCGGTAAACTTTTAAGTAACGCGAACTTCGTCAACTGGATGGTTGCCCAGTTCAACGCACATACATCGACATCAGCAAAATAAGTGCTTCAGGTGAAGGTGATGTGATTTTTTCTTTTAGAAAATATCAATTTAAGATAAATTAAGATTGGTTGAAGAGCTGACAGTTCTCGCTATAATAGTCGAACAAGAGCATCGCTACCGCTGCAATATACGTCCACATTCCTGCTTTGATATGATACTTTTTAAAATGAAGAGAATGAAATATGAAATGGCTGCAACTACTGTGATATGTCAAGAGACAAAGAAGGCTAGGCATTGGGTTTGTTTTGCCAAGTTTATAGACTTAATATTAACACTGCCCCAGGGAGTTGGGGCATAAAATGAATAATTTCTGTCCTTACGGTATAAGGAATATATATGCCACTATGCCACGTTCCAACATGATCCATTCAGAATTCCAGTCAGAGACAAAAAGCAGAAAAATTGGCCTGGCTCTGCCCTTGGGGGTTGGACGTGGACAAATTTGAATAGGTACAACCAAAATGGTACAAATTATATTAACAATTGCAACCTTTAGACTTTAGAGTATTTACAGACAAAATATTAACAAAAAATGTGGGGTCGGATCATGCACCAAAATCAATAGTTACGGTCCTTAGGCTATAAGAAATACATATGCCAAGATGATCCTTTCAGAATTGGGGCCTGTATACGATAAACAGAAAAATTTGGCATGGCTCTAGAGGGTCCACAACCTTAAAATATACCATATATTTTGCTTACGAGGGGCAGCCATTTTGTCCTGCATCATTAGGGTGCTACGGTGATATATTCACACGTTTTTTTATATTGGATAAAAATTGTAACCTCTAGATGGACCACATGCTAAAAATGCGATTTTTAGTAAAATGAAGGGCCATAATTCAAGAGGTTATTCGATATTCGCGCATATCGGATTGTAACTTCCTGAATTATGGCCCTTGATTGTAGAAAAAATCATGTTTTTAGCTTTTGGTCCCTTATGATGTCACAATTTTTATCCGATTTAAAAAAAACGTGTGAATATATCACTGTTACACACTAAGATCTTGGTTCCTTTTGATAATCGCGCATATCTGAAGTAACTTCCTGGATTATGGCCCCTGATTGTTCTAAAAATCGCATTATTAGCTTGCGGATTCTCTAGAGGTCACATTTTTTTTTCCGATTTTAAAAACCGTTTAAATTTATCACGTACCATTCTACAATAATGAAGGTTGAATTTGAATTACGGGAAAATTGAAATGAAACTGCCCAACAAAATGGCTGCTCTTTGTACGCAAATTGTGTCAAAGTATGTAATACGAAGGTTGTGGACCCTCTAGAGGTCCCAATTTTCATCCGATTTTGATGAAACTTAAAACATATCTTTATATCACAAAGATATCAGTCTCTTTTGATATTTGCGCATTTCAGACCATAACTATCTGGATTATTGTCCCTGATTGTACAAAAAATCGTGTCTGTTTTTAGCTTGTTCTCTATCCTTCCCTTGCAAAATGTGGACGTATCCTGTCTGGCAGCCGCTGGTTACTATGAACCAAGTGTTAACTCACAGAGAAAGACCTTATAATAAATTTCCATAGTTTTTCTTTCATCTAATTCGCTTGTGGCCGTTTTTATCTGACAGTCTTTTACCATTTTAGCTCTAGAATGTTGATCACGTTACGGCCCATGCATGTGTCCTCTTTGTCGTACAGACTGGATACTATCAATTGCAGTTTGTGTGAAGATCAACCATTTTTATACGCCCAAATGGAAATGTGGTCGTATATTGCCGTCGCCCTATTCGTACATCCGTCGGTCGGTCGGTCCGTCCATCGTCCACAATTTCTTGTGAATGCACTACAGACTATATTTATCATGAAGAATCCTATTTAATTAAATAATTTCCGTTAATCTCTTCTGGAGTTATGGCCCTTGTTTCACTTTGTTGCACCTTGTGAATGCTCTAACGAAAAAACTGTATGAAATTTATTTGCATCATTTAAATTAGTGAAATGAAGACGCCTATTGAATTTCAGTTAATTACGTCTAGAGTTATGGCCATCGTTTCACTTTGTTGAATTTCAGCAATTTCTGTTTATTACTAGAGTTATGGCCCTTGTTTTACTTTGTTGAACGACAAAATTTAGCGTCTGATCTGTATAAAGTTTATATGTATTATTTAAATTAGTAAGACGAAAAAGCCTGTCAAATTTCAAAAATGTCTGTAATTTACTTCCAGAGTTAAGACCCTTGTTTCAGTTTGTAGATCATTTTGAACCCTCATAATAACGCTGGCCACGTCGACGCCATATTCTGGTCCCGCCTTCTGCAGTTGATATGCAATACCGAATATAATCTGTGAACAGAACAGTTCTCCATTGCCTATGTCACCAGTTCTGGTGTTATTGGGCAAACTGTAGAAGTTCACGTCGATGACGAGGGGTAAGGATCAGTCAACGGTAAGGTCTACGGCAATGGATGTTCTCTCTGGTGAGACTTTGGCGCACTATCGGTACTGATGGGTCTTCCGTGTGTTTCCACCGTCTGATGTGTGAAGGGATTCTGCACGTGCTGTTGCACAACATGGCGGTCTTGTGGTAACCCTTGGTCTACCAGTTCGGGGGCGATCATCCGTGGTGTTGGTGGCCAGAAAGCGTTGCTGAAGCATGTAGATGGTCTGAACACTGACCTGGAATTGATTGGCAACAGCTTAGGTAGTGTGGCCAGCGTCAAGTCTTCCAAGCACCTGGTTCCTCTGAGCTATCCTGGGTCGTGGCATGCTGCTGACTTTCTAGTGTGAATGATTCAACCAGGTATGGGGGTGCATTTTCTAGGGCTGGTCCCGGTGAACAGCACGTGCAGCATGAGTTACATGAAAATCATGGAGAACACATTACCATCTCAGAAGTCAGGTTGCGTGTTTGAGAACATTTCCTGGGTTCAATTCTGTGTTTGGGAAGGAGCCTTATTGCTCAGGTAAATTTGGAGATGTTGTCACAAATAAACAATAAAAGCATTTGGCAAGTTTTATGCAATGCGTCTATTCAGAGTAACATACCAACCTGATGTTTCTTTTGCTGTGGTTTCGATTCGCCGGTTGTACGTGACAAGGAGTAGAGTCGCCTGTCCAACCTCGTTGGTTTACCCCGGGTCCTCCGGTTTCCTCCCACTGCTAAAGACCCCTACGCGCAAGCGAATTATGGAAATAAAATTGAACCATATGTTAGTCCCAAAATGACCTAGTTTGTGTCGAGTGGACGTTAAACCCCATTATAGGCTATAAAATCACTTAAGTAAATAAGCTTTTATTCACGATAAGTTAAATGTAAATAGCTGTAGGTAAATGTTTAAAAATATTGATTGTCATGTTCGACGGTATTTATATTATTATGTATTACATGTATATATATTCATGTATCTTCTCATTCTTCTGATGAAGATTTTAAATAAAAATTATTATTATTTATCATTGGTAAAACTCGCTGACCATTTTGAATGTCACTTGATGTATCTTTCCGTATTCTTCAGAAATTTCACGTATTAGCCGAATCACTCACATTGTGCGCTAAAAGTAATTCCCGGTAAATCATCAAATCGGCTATTTTCGAATTAACTTTTGATGTGAAGATGTGGAGAATGTTGCAAGATTCATTAATATGTAACTCATGCAACGAACCAATGCCTAATTGTCGAGACATCGGCAGCTTTTCATTCTAACAAATCCTGCCAATCAGTAGCCACGGCACAGGGGGGGGCGTCGGAGCTAAATAACCGAATTCACACTGATTAATGGCCGGCGAGTTTTACCAGAGATAAACAAGGAGTAAAGTTATCTCTGGGATCGAGATTGTAGCAGAAAGTTGAACAACACCTAAGTGGAGAAATAGTGGATTTATTGAATCAAGACCGACTGCCTTGGAAACATCTAATGTTTGTAGGTATAGGGAATTTGTAAAACAATACTTTTTATGAGAAAAGTGGCACGGTCGTGTGTTTTATCCCTTACCGTCAGATGGTGTGATGGAGATAATGATATAGACATAATATGTGATATCGCAATTAATGTTTTACATCAATGAAATTGAATCACATTCACAATGTCATCGTATTAATTCATAATAAATAAAAAAATGACGTCAACCGGGGTGTTGGATTTCTCTTTAAAAACCTCACAGTGTATGTATTTACGCCAAAATGACGATAGAGACCATGTATTTCACAACAAATTTCAAAGATACATTGTAGAGTAGGCCGTAGCGCCGCTGCCCGGGCAAAATTTCCCTCATAGCACACTGTATGGCCTATGCCCGTCTTCATTAGCCCACTTTAGGAGCAGAACAATAGGACATTAAACCCCATTTCATTTCATTTGTCTCAGGAACCTGGCAACCCCTATCCTGGTTCCGCTCACCAAGTAACATTCTATACACGGAAGTTTCACCACTACCACCACTATCATTCAATCAAAGTCTCGACCAATCAAATTGCTTACCCTGGGCGAAAATGTTCATTATCGAACTTAGTCAATGCATTGATGTGATAAAACTATTTCTATACACCAAAGCATCACCCAATCAAATTGCTTATCTCTGCTTACCCTAAGCAGAAAATGCTCATCATCGAACTCCATCAAGGCATTCATTTGCCTAATAAACGCCTACACAAAGTTTGAACATTCTACCTCAATTAAAAGGAGAACTGTGTACCAAAGTCTCGACAAATCAAATTGCTTATCGCACTGCTTACCTTGAGCAGAAAATGATCATTATCGAACTTAGTCAAGGTGTTGATGTGATGAAACCATGCACCCAGTTTCACCACTCTCTCTTACTTGGAACCGAAGTTATCGTGTCTATCATGCAAGGTATTCACCTAATACCTATACACCAAGTTTGAACATACATGTACTAGCTCATTTAGGAGAGTTAATGTGTCCCAAAAAGTGTGACGGGCATACAGATTTTAATAGTCCCCTGTTTTCTTCGAAGGGCGGGGGACAAAACTTGTGACCTCTTAGAGTGTCTACAACCTTGGTATTACATACTTTAACACTATTTGCGTAAGGGGAGTGGTCATTTTGTCGGATAGTTTCGGTCTGATTTTAACGAAATTCGAACTCAACTGTCATAATATAATAATATATTTAAAGGAGCTAAATCGCTAATATTTGGGATCTAGAAATTGACACAAAGGGGTCGCAACGCATATAATAATGTAATATGAATGTATATAAACTGATTTACATTCAATCGTTTCTGTTCTTACTGTAATTTCTAATCAGTTATGTTCGGCGAAATACGCCAGAAGTCTCAATTGAAGACAATCTTTAGCGTCTTGTTATTCCAGTCTAAACCGATGGTATTTATTGCGCATGCTTTCCAGATAAGAATATAGCGTCACCATTTGACATGACTTGTGGAATATGTCTAGCCTCGTTCTTTGAGTCCCTTGTTCTAAATGGCACTGAAACGCCATGTGATCGCCCCCGTCCCTCCGATTGACTTGAAATTTATACACAGTGTTTAAGGTCATGAGACGAAGAAGTCTCTTGATTTTCACCGATTTCCCATAATTACTGCCAGAGTTATGGCCCTTGGTCACTTTGAAAAATTCTTGTGGACGTTTTCTAGGCCAAAGTTTAAATTTAGGAGGTCACAGTGGCTAAGTGGGTAAAACGCTGGCTCGCTAGCCTGGAGGTCGGGTGTTTGATCCCTGCACTGGCTGAGAAAGTTCATCCAGATTTTCCGGCGTGGTTCCCTCCTTATCAGTGATGCAGGACGGAGCGCCTGACAAGGACAGCTGTCTAGTTAGTCATTCAGATGGGACGGAAACCTGAGGTCCCATGTACACATTGGCGTGCACGTAAAAGCTCCCTTGACAGTTGGAATTCGATATAAGAGTAGGCCATAGTGTCGCTGTTCGGGCAAAATTTCCCTCATAGCACACTGTATGGCGTATGCCCGTCTTCATTAGTCCAGTTCGGAGCAGAACAGCAGGGCGTTAAACCCCATTTCATTTCGCTTTAAATTTATACACAGTGTTTAAGGTCATGCGACGAAGAAGCCTATTGATTATCACCGATTTCCGATAATTACTGCCAGAGTTTTGGGCCTTGATCACTTTGAAAGCCTTATGGACGCTCCGTCCGTCGGTCCGGTGTCCACAATTGCATGTGGACGCTCTAGAGGCTAACATTAATATCCCATTGACTTTAAAGTTATACACAGTGTTTAAAGGGGCCAAATCGCTAATATTTGGGACCTATAGAAATTGACCCAAATGGGTCGCAACGCATATAATAATGTAATCTGATTGTATATAAACTGATTTACATTCAATTGTTTCCGTTTTGACTCTTAATTTCAAATCAGTTATGTCCAGCGAAATACGGCCTAGAGCTGTGTCTCAACCCTATAGCAATTTCTAGCATCTGGTTATTCCAGTCTATTGAACAGGCTCTCCAGTTGAATGTCTAGCCTCGTTCTTTCTGGTCACTTGTTGCAAATGACATTAAAACTCAATGGTAAAATGTTTATTTTGTCTTAAATATTGGATATCAGAAGCCTGCCTTTTCCTGGTAAGGTGGGGGGTTGGATGGCTGAATGGTTAGCGTGCGCGCGCTGTATCATAAAGTCTGTCATTGAGTCGACTGGTGTGGTTTCGAATCCCCGGTTGTACGTGACAAGGAGTAGGGTCGCCTGTCCAACCTCGTGGGTTTTCTCCGGGTCCTCCGGTTTCCTCCCACTGCTAAAGACCCCTACGCGCAAGCGAATTATTGAAATAAAATTAAACCATATGTTAGTCCCGAAATGACCTAGTTTGTGTCGAGTGGACGTTAAACCCCATTTCTCTCTCTCTCTTTTCCTGGTAAGATCACATCAATGTTGATTTGAATTGAGAAATAATTCGTATTTTCAACGTGTATGACTTTGAATGATATTGAGTTAGAGACTTAGCTACTTTAAGGCGAAGAAGCCCAGTGATTTTCAACGATATCAGATAATTACTGCCAGAGTTATGGCCCTTGGTGACTTTGAAAAATCTTGTGGACGCTCTAAGGTCATCAGACGAAGATTTCTGATAATTACTGCCAGAGGTATGGCCCTTGATCAATTTAAAATGTTGTGGATGCTTTAGAGACTATAGTTATCATCTGATTGATTTTATATACTCTTTAAAAAAAAGTAGGGGGTTTTCAGAAACAATACAAAACTGCGGAAATGCACTGCTGTTTTTATTAGAGGTAACCAGTGTATACACATGAACATAAACAGTTCATATGGGCGGCTTATCTGACGGCCCCATTTCACTCGCAAAGAGATGCACTGTCAAAAGTGAAAATGGACGTTTTTTATTTTTGTCTTAATAATGAGTAATCCACCAATCCTCAGACATTCAGCATTTCGTCGTGGCATGCTCCTAATCAACTGCAGCGTTGTTGGGTGACGTTTACGTCGACGAACACGTCTCCCGATCATGTCCCAGACATGCTCTACTATAGGGGAAAGGTCAGGACTCACGACTTGCCAAGGCATATGGACAATATGGTGACGCTGGAGGTAGTCTTTCACGACACGAGCGCGGTGGGCACGGGCATTATCATCTTGAAAGATGAAACGTCGACCTGCACGTTGGGCAAAGGGCAGAACTATCGGTGCCAGGATGTCGCCATGGTAGTACACACCAGTGACCCTTCCTTGAACAATATGCAAGTCCGTTCTGCCACACATGGTGATTCCTCCCCACACCATAACAGACCCACCCCCGTATCTGTTTGCCATGTGCTGGCGAGTTAATGGAGGCACAACACGCGGTCGTCGCGCATGCAAATGGGCTGCATGTAGCTGATTTCTAATCGTTTGGGGTGTAACTCGAATTCCTGTATCTTGGTACAAGTTTACAGAAAGCTGATTGACCGATTGTCCTCGATTTCGCAGGACCTGTGTACGAATGTATCGATCCTGGGCTTGTGTAGTGGCTCTAGGACGACCTGAACGAGGTCTATCATCAGCATTGTGTGTTTGTTGGTACCAGTTCCACAGTCTGCTGATCACAGACTGTGACACATAAAGCATGTTGGCTACTGCTCGCTGTGTAGAACCCATTTGAAGCATGTTGAAGGCGTCTCATTGCAAATTAAACGTAACAC